GATAACGCCGCAATTCACAAGCATAATAAACATAGATAGTGGCTAGCAGTGGAATCCAGGACGCACGTTTCGTCCTATTTTGGACTCGCCAGCTGGATGTACCTGCATCTTAGATTTGATGTTCACTCTGATCAATTGCAGTCCTAAACATCAATGGTAAGATTCAAATAAACAATACCAAGTGAATTTAAATTTCAACCTATTGCACAAACAAGTGGCTATCAGGAATCAGTAGCTAAGTGAATAACGCGATGGCGTTTGAGGCTAACGGTACTGGGTTCTAGTCCCAGAGTTAACATCAACTCTGAGGTGCAGATACATCCATCTGCGCGTCCTGGATTCCACTGCTAGCCACTATCCATCTTCAATTATAAGCAATGTGAGAGTTCTAAGTTGCGTTCACTTTCTGGAGAACAATCTAAGTGGCTTATCTTCGTACGCCGGTCGCGATCATCGTCAGACTCAGATAGTCGTACTAGAATTTTAAACAGAATCCAGTCACATTCCAATTTAACATTGAAAGATATCACAAATGAGCGTCGTCACGTTATTAATATTAGAAATAATACTAAAATAATCAAACGTCCAGATCACAATTCTTTTGATTTGATGAAAATTTTTCGTTCAGGTTGCATTATTAATGTTGAAAATCATGATGCACGAAATTTTCCTCGCCTGAATCACATGTACAATGTCCATGACTATTTCACTTCGCTCTTCAAGGCCGCCCATTAATTGTTGGAACTATGATGCATAGAAGTTCTCTCGTTTCTGTCTATTGATGAACAGAAATGCACAAAGTTTGGAGTAACTAGCCATAAGGAATGATTATGAAAACGCATCAAACCCTCATCTCATTATCGAATGAAGAAAAGGATCAAGTGTGTACATGTGTTGTCGAAATCCAACCTCTGATACTTACGCAAGCATTGATCCATTAATGTCATCGTTTGTATTATCACTTTTCAGTTGAAAAATAAACCCGATATCACTTTGATTTCTCACAGAACGTGGCACAAACTTGGTCGACCAAGCATTTATCCTAATAGCGATTGTATACAAAAATGTATCAGGCATCTCATTCAAAATTTCTGGAATCATCAATTGTACTGTCGAATTTAGTGATCTATTAATCAAATCCAAATGCTAGGTTACTGATGAGTCTGTAGTGCCCCGCTTTTATCACGAGAAGGCGATTGATTTAATGGAAACAATCATTATTATAATCAACTGTATCAGTGATTGTTTTACTGTGCTCGTTTGTTTAACTGTGCTAAAGACGGCCATATTACTGCCTCGGCATCCATTATCTTTCAATTGTGACCTTGCACGGATTCGGCTACGCTCGGTAAGCACGCTTGTATTCCTCTGGCACGATCTCGGTAGCCTTTCGATCCCACGAGATCGCCAATAAGTAGATCTCGACTACAGCCACCAACTGCCTTCTGATATTTGGCTTACGGGGGAATTTGTCAGTTAACTGGCACAAAGTCTTGTTGTAGTGGTGTTCATAGTCATTCGCGACTCGACCCACGCTACAAGTCCTTCAAACTATTGGGTCTTGATTGGGTCACAGAATTAAAAAAAGCCTGATTAGCCATTTCATTTAATTTGTAATCCAAATCCAATCAATTATGTTCATATCCTCATATGCTACACAAACAAAGGCAAATTGTTTCTAGTGATTTTCAAAATGATTACAAGGTGAGGGCACGACTGACGTAATCGCCATCTAAGGGTGTCTTCTCTGTTCGGTCAATGTTCGGAAGGAAGACTCCGACTTCTTTTGATAGTATATATCCCCAAAGAAGAGGACAAGATTATAAACCCAAAGTAACGAGAATTCAACATCACTTTTCAATCGAAAACATGTAAACTATATCTGTGATAGACGAATAGACTCAAACAAGGAACCTCTTGGCTCAAACCTGCGGTCAGGTTATTTAGTTTACAAAGTCAGTTTGAAGCATCAGAATAGAAGCAGAAGTGGTGGCCAGACACAAAGCAAGTCATGAAGAAGACGAAGTTTCTTTCAATGTCTTCAGTTAAATCCATCGGGCAAGACCTATTTCTCTGGAAAAGTTATATGGAGAGCCAATCAAAAATAGCCCTACGAGAAGGTCAATCTACGGCAATCAGAAGTAGCCTAAAGAAAAATTGCATTTCATTGCTTGGGGAATGGATCGATTTCCTAAGGATTAGAGTGATATTTATACGAATTAACATTTGTACATTTTATTCGTTAGTCGATTGCATTTTCTTGCTCACTCAAGTGTTCTCTCTCAAATGCTCACTTTGGGAGTTAGCACGTAGCACACCGTGTATCAGTACCATATTTTGGACACTATATGTCACAATACGAATATACCTTTTAATCTGTTTCTTGTGTATCACTATTTTTGCAATTCGCCTTTTTGAAACGTTATTCGTTACAAATCTTGAAACTGATTCAACTTATTAGTGTACCTTTTGACGTCAAATTGTCTTCTCTAATGAGTGTATAAATATTCCCTTGGATATGGTCCTTTTGGTACTGAAATTGCATGTGATGTATACCAGCTTACGATTTCTGAAATATACTCTTAGTTTTTTGAATAGCGAGAAATCAGCGTTTTTTGGCATGGAAACATCAAAAGTGTTCCTGAAGTCCTCATAAAAATCATACAAATGACTGTCGCAATCAGACGAGTCAGTATTGACAGTGATGTGACTCATACATAATATCTTATATCTAGGTATTCATATCGTGATAACTCAATAATTTTAGATTCTGTCTTTAATTCTAGCAGCGTAGGAAATGCATTAATATCGGCCTATACCTAACTTCAACTAGTCTTAGAGGAGGCAGTACACAGCTGTCCTAAAAGATTAGTACTATTAAGGTGTGTGCTACTGATGTTGACACACATAAATAATATATATTGAAAATGAAATGCCTGGTGGTAGAGGGCTATTAAAATCAAAGAAAAGAGAACGAGAACAGAAAGTGATTGGTGTGGTAAAGAAGAATCAGTCAGTTCTGAGAAAATTGTTGGACGTTTTGTAAATGAAGAATTTACTGTAATTTTCTCATATTTTAATAAGCGATTCTGTGATTTTGTGTCGAAATACATTTTCGTTGTCACCATTTGTGTTCACGTTCACTACACTATGTATTGTGTTATAAGCTATTGTGTAAGAGCCATTGGAAACTTGAAATACGACGATTGTGGTGGTCGGTATTCAATATAATCCTTAAACTTCGTATACAGTTCGTCTTGATAACCGTCACTAGATAACGCCCCAGCGGTATGTTAATCAGAATGCGAATACGAAGTGTTGATTACGTTTATTATGGGACCGCACAAAGATATCCCAAATCACAGGAACGTTAAGCCTGCATGATAGAGTTGTGCCGAAAAGCGAGCAGGAAAGCGAACTAGCGAGCGAGTCAGCGAATACGAGTACGAGTAAGCGAGTATTGATAAGCGAGAGGGCAATGAACATGAATAACATGGACATATATATACATACATATTGAAATGAATGAATCATCGATTCTATTAAGCCACTGATAGTAAGGCTAGCAGAGTGAATATATGCGTAGGCAGTAAGCAGTGTTCAAGCAAACATGTTCATCCATTGGCAACGATAATAAAGATACAATGATAAAGATAAGTTGTTGTTGTACGGATGACTCAACTCGTTGGTAAGTTAGCAAAATGACTTAGTCGAATTAAATGTGAACAAACTCAATTGCACGTTAGTCGCTATACAATGAGATCAAGGTTTTTGTTATCAAGTTCGGTGACTGGCGTCAATTAAAAAAGCATCCTGTTTTTCATGTTCATAGAGTAATGAAGACAACTGTCTTGATGGTTGTAGCTGGAGACTGCGGCAGTCACAGACCACCGGTTATGGAGTTTCTCCGGCTTCTAATGAAAGACTGGTATGACAATGTTCACCATATGACGTCGATGTTTATTGTGATGTGATACTGACTAAAGTTAGGACAGCCGGTGCTGGTCTTACCAATGGCAGTTTTATGCTGTATATATACGTTTGATTTGTGCCTGTCGTTATTGTTCGTGCTCCTGACTGCTTGCGGAATATATTTCACCTTTTCGAACTTGGACTTCTCTCTCTGGTTAGCGGGGCTGGGGCGCGTCATAATAGCTAGCTTATCTATCATTGTGTCACAGAATCTTCTTTCTGTTCTCAGATTAGCTGAACTCATAATCGCTTCAAAAATGACATTGTACAAGCATTCTGACAAGCTAACCCAATGTATCAGAATATTCTCAATCATTCACAATCCATGCAAACTATGGCAATATGCAATAAATCAAACTTTCAGTGCGAGTTTAGAAGTGCCAATAAATTGAAAATTGAGCTTTAAATAAAATGTTTTTGCCTAAGTGAGATGAATGAATAACCCTACACATAACGTTGAAGCTTCTGTTGGGTATAAATTGTATTTTCTATACAACAATCTGTAACTTTACAGCTCACATATATTTCTTTGGGCACGTTATTACGAATTAAGAGCGAGCGGATGTATGGCCGAATTTTTTAGAGGTTAAAAGTCATTTATTACTAGGACAACGACCGGTTTTGGGTCGAAATCAGCTTATTCGTAAAGAAAAAAACTTGAGTCCCCACAACAATACATCGCATTGGTATAAAAACTAACCACACTTGTCTCACATTATCCTTCCGTCCAGGACTGATAATCTGAGACAGTATCCCAAGAAACTTCACGAACCAAAATCAAACCGCTTACGTCAGGAGTTCCATTCCTTCCACCGAGTAGAGAATTACTGGGGCACATAATATTAGCACCTTCTGTTGATATATTCGAAGTAAGGTTGGATTTTTATCGTACTACAAGTCGCAAAGTTTAATATAAATTGATTGACTTCTATCCTTTCTACCGAAAAGTGACTGAGGTGATCGGATATTGGACACAAACTGTTGCTTCGCGGCGTATATTTGACACAAACGTTACCTCAAGTGATAAGGTGACTTTCTCTTCAGGAGTAAAGTCGATTTGTGAGTACTCGTATATTTCCTGTGCTTTATCATTACTTCTCTAAGAAACCTTTCTTCGTTTTTGGCAAATTCCTAGTCTTTTTACTTTGATGATGTATGTCGGATTGTAACCAACTGATTTTAATAATTAAAATTCCGGGTTGTTTAATTTCGCTGAAATAAGGCCTGGAGTAAATACTTCCAAATTATTCGTCAAAATCGGCCCTTATTCGACCTTTTGTATTTGGTTTGAGTCTGATTTCTATTTTTCAGTGCGATACCCAATCTCCCTGTTCTGGAGAAACTTTGGGGAATTTTGAGTTTTCTCCAAATTCGTGAGAAGTTCGGTATTTTTTTTCTAAGTTTTTGGAAATTACTAATAAAAACCCCAAAGTGTTATAAAATTATGGGAAATATTGGGAAAAACTCGAAGTGTCCCCAAAACTTTGGGTTTTTTCTCCAGACCTGGTGGTATTTTGGTATTTTTGTTCCATTTCCCTAGAGCTTTCTTTTACTGTTTCCCCAAGATTTACTCAAAACGAAAAAAACTTTCTTCGAAATAGGGGGATTGGGTAAATAACCTATTTCACTCTCGAAAATCACTTCGTCATAATGACTTATTTAAAAGGCTTCGCATTGTGGTTTACTGAGATCTTTATCAGTCGGGTCTACCATGATGTTCAATTGTAGACGGACACATCTGCCTGCAGTATCTTCCAAGAGTTGGTTACTAGTTAAATAAAGTTTTGATTGACATTTCCTACCAATAAGCAAAAAGTCAATAATCGCTTTGACCATGTGTACAGTGAACCTCTTGATCCTTGTCAAAGGTCAGAAATTCCCTTTCAAACGAGACTTAATTTGAGTTGTCATAGTACTGCGTAAACACTGATAACTCGGTCTGTAGGACTTGACACTCAAGTTGCCATCTCTAAAATAACTCAGCGAGATGAAATCATTCTAACATGTCCTAGAGTAACAGGAGTAATAACAGTACAAGTAGTAGTAGAAAATATTAAGTTCGGAAGAAGCGGGAAAGGCATAATCTTAGTTTAAGAACCCAGGCTCTAAAAGGAAACAAGGAGTGAATCCTCCTAAATCCTAATAGCTATGTTTTGCTCTCAGTAAGTAAAATGGCAAAAACTGCGCAGAAACACCACAAGAGTGATTCACATTCTCTAAATTGGTTCCCGTGACTTCTAACCTTTATAAATTATAACCTGATAAGTGGCGGCAGGTGGATAATATGCTGGTGAGCGGAGTTTTAGGCAAAGTTTAAAACTTGATGACCGACAACTTGTGCTTTACTGAGAGTTCGGTGTAACATGTAATACTTAGTTACTGAATCACTTAATTTGATAAATATGGAGACGAATTCGAGCATCTCTCAAGTTAGCCTTTGGAAAGTGGTTGGTTTATCACAAAGAGTTGAGTAAGCAACAAATAAAATTTAACTGTATGTAATATGATTTATGGATTTTTTAAGGTGGATGAAAGGTACTTGAGATTCTAAGTAAGAGAACTGCATAAATATCCATTCATATGGCTACATGTCATTTCCATACTCTGGACGTAACTCCCAATCGAAGTGTTCTCGGGTTTTACTGCATTCATCTTTACTAGTTGCACTCTGTTTGTTTAGAAATTATCTCTACTTTCGCAGGATTATTGTAAAATTCACTGAAAGTCATCAAGGAAGTATACTTTTACAGAGATTTTCGTAGGTGTTGTTACCTCCGTATCTGATACATATAATTAATGTCTATCGATAGGGATAAAGTTACCCTTATGTCCTAGACCAGCAATCCAGTGTTCAAATCAGCTCAGAAGTTATAAACATGATCTTCCGGTATCACGTCATAGTATTGCGTAGTGTGAGTAGGGTAGCACTACGTCACCGGTTACCATGGGACTGGATTTCCTACGTTGCTCAACTGCCTTATGGATTAAACATTTAGGTCGAAGGTTCCGGATGTGACCCCTTAAAAAGACCACTTATCTCGGTTTTGGCTCCTGTGCACTATTCCAGCTCCCACAAATCGAATGACGAGGTGTGGCGCATATATATTTGGTGCCGCCTCGTACCAATGCTTGTGTTGAAATAAATAAATTTTATCACCTACTATCCCTAACCAAGCAAGTATTCTGTTTATTAAGGCAAATTATTTACGATTTCTAGGTGTTATGATTGTTTTTGAACAGTTAAGTCGGATTGTAAAACGCTACTTGCACTGATATTGCTCATTTATAATGTTTCTCCGAAAAGAATGAAAACGAATTTAAGCCCATATTACTCTGAAGGTACTTCGGTTATCAAAATTGTTAGTCGAATATAATCCACGATTTTTACCATCCGTTTCCTCGAAAATAAAAAGTATACACATTTGTGATATCAATTAGATTTAAACTCAGTATTTTGCAGTAGTTTAAGCATAGATTTATCCGTAATCATATTAATATCGCATTCTATTGTGTATTGGTGATGGGTCAAAAAGTGTTAATAGCTGTGTGAGCTTTTTTTAAAATTCTTGACTGACTCTGTTGATCGTGAGGTCCTATGGGAGTTTTTGTCACTGAAAGGAGTACCAGAGAAGTACATTAACCTTACAAAGACTCTCTACTCGAACACAACTGGTAGAGTGAGAGCTTATGGCGAACTGTCATCAGAATTGATTACCTCAAGTGGTGTTCGTCAGGGCTACCCACTCTTTCCATTCTTGTTTAACTTTGTCATTGACGTACTTTTAGAGATAACACTTTCCTCATTTAAATTTCCAGTAGTTGAACTTCTACCAGGAGATTCACTTGTTGATTGGAATATGCCGATGACATAGTTCTATTTGGTGAAGACGCTGACAAAATGCAGAGTCTTCTGACCACTCTAAGCAACAATGCAATCATGTTCGGCATGCGATTCTCCCCCTCGAAATGCAAAATGTTGCTTCAGGATTGGGTTGCATCGACACCCGAACTAATGATAGGGAGTGAAGTAGTTGAGCGTGTTGACCGCTTCACTTATCTTGGGAGTCTCATCAGCCCTTGTGGTCTGGTGTGTGACAAACTCTCAGCACGGATACAGAAGGCTCGACTAGCTTTTGCCAACTTGCGTCATTTATGGCGTAGGCGAGATATCCGTCTATCAACCGAAGGACGTGTTTACTGCGCAGTTCGTTCCGTCCTACTTTATGGCAGTGAAACATGGCCGGTAAGAGTAGAGGATATTCGTAGGTTACTAGTATTCGATCATAGGTGTCTTCGAAACATTGCTCGTATATCCTGGGACCATGGAGTAAGTAACGCAGTTGTTAGGAAACAGGTACTAGGTAAGGATGGAAAATCGATTGATGAAGTAGTGAAACTTCATCACTTGAGATGGCTGAGACACGTGTTACGTATGCCCAACGACCGACTGCCTCGACGTGCGATGTTCAGTGGTATAGGAGTAGGTTGGAAGAAAGCTAGGGGCGGCCAGACCAAAACATGGCACAAGTCCATGAAGTCACTGACAAGTGAACTGAGTCATGTTGGTAGGTGTAGACTACCTGGTTGTGGACCGCGAGATGATAGCAATCGATGGTTAGAGACCCTGAATGACATGGCTCAAAATCGTTTGCAATGGCGCAGGTGCATACACTCTTTGTGTTCTCCCAAATTCTAATCTCCTGATTCCTACTTGTCTTTTTTTCTCTTCCCAAATTTATTTCACTGGATTATACTCTTTGAATAACATCTCCAAACCCTAATCTTTCCGATTACTGCTTATACTCTTACTACCTCTACCACTACGGGATTTGAATCGACAACTCCATCTCTGTGCTAATGTGGTATGGCAACTCGAACTGATGTACGTACGTACGAAGTTCTACGTTGTTACTGACTGACTGACTTGTTTCTCCTTACAGCTTGTCACTGACTTGTCACTTGCCCTTCTCTCTAATGATCTGAACACTGATTTCCTCTTTTAATTTTACCGTTATGTTTCTAGACAGATAAGTGTCACTGATGAGCATCATATATTCTCTGTTGTCATTATCATTACCACGATTTATAGCCATCTCAAACATTTGATGCGAATTGAAATAATTTAGTTGTTTCCCCTAGGGCTTGTAATCGTCATAAATGGAAACAAATATGTATGGCGCATATGTATTCGGTGCCCCTTTGTACCGATATTTATGTGTCCAAATAAAATAAATAACAATGCGTCGATTGATTCAAATAAATCTATAGAACTCCACTATTCAATTTTTGGTTAAAAGTTAATATTTATTGCCATCTGCCTTAGTTCAGATATGATGTCAGCCTATATTGGTACATTAATTAACTGCATTACATACGTAGATATCTCAACACAATACTATCCTGGCAGTGAATACCAACTATACATACTGTTCTGTATTAGATATCTTCTTAAATATACCCTCAACTGTTTCATTTTCGTAGATGCTCTTCTGTTCTGTACGGATAAATGCGGTCAAAGTCTCAACTTCTGTTCCAAAAGAGTACGATAATCTCCTACGATCATCTTCAAATCCAGTGTTTGGTTGTTGTTGGTTCACGCCAGTTTAAATAATATCCTCTATCATTATTTACTTGATTACTAACCCAAAATTAATTACCGTTAGGACTTAGTTACATTGATTAGTATTCATAGCGATTAATTGATGTATCATTTTAAAAACTATTATGGTTTAGTATCCTTATTAAGGTATGTTATCTCTTTACTACAATGACCACCTCTGTATTCGTAAGTTTGTAGAATAACTCCAATTTTTCTAGAATGACACGTTTAAGACATATTCATGCTACCGGAACTTGTATTTCAGCATTGTCAGTCAGTTAATCATTATTAACTTGTGACCTATCACAAATGTCGTCACATTAAACTGGGAAGTCAAGTTGAAGTAAGAAGTACGAATATTAAGGTAATCGAAGTAGTCGTATCGGTGATAATAACAAGACATACAAGACCATATATTGGGATTCGCTCTTTGAGATAGTCTGATGAAAATGGTTCAGTGGGATTTTATGGATAACTCTAAACGCTAAATTTTTTATCGACGTAATGACCAGTATCCACTAAATGAGCGAAGATAGAGCTTCTTACTACTTTCTTGTGTCAACCATGATGTATGATGTTCAGAAATACGATAATGCCTAGTTCCTATGCGTCTATTTGTATTTACCATTTCAACTGCTCTTGCGGAGCTAGTTATATTGAACTTGCAACCAGACAAAGACATCATTGTATTTCCGAACATCATACCTCATGGTTGACAAAAGAAAGTAGTAAGAAGTTCTATCTTGTCCCATTTAGTAGATACTGGTCATCATATCGATAAAAAATTTAGCGTTTAGAGTTATCAATAAAATTCCACTGAAATTACCCTAGGGTTCCAGAATTCGGCTCTCATAAAAATAATAAGCCAAGGGAATACATATCAAAATACCTAACCTTTGTATACAGAAAAGGTCTATACAACCTCTTAATGTACCCTGGGTTTCCACTTAGATATTATTACGTTTCTCAAAACTTTTTCTTTCTCTTTTAAAATTTTTCAAAATTCAGTTTTGTTAACATTTTAATTTTTATCCTAATCTTGCGTAACTTGTTTAATAATCTTACTACCTAATTTTGGTTGCACCTGTCTTACTAATTACTGGCATAAAGCTACGTTGGATACATGAACATCTTGACCATCTTCATCAGATTATCTCAAAGTGTGAATCTCGATATAGGATTCTGTCTTGTCCATGTACGTCGCTCTTCGGCGATCTAAGACAAGTCCTGTAATCAAAGTCTTTGATCTGAAACTAGTGGAACGGGATTTGAGTAACGTGTCATACCATTATCGTTCAAACTCTCGCCACCAAGAATTATTTTCTCTGAGTAATAGCATATTACTATTTTGTCTTACTTTCTTCAAAATTCTTTACTGAAAGACGTTAGTGACAAAACTAGAATGAAATTATAAGATTACGCAACCACACTTCTGGTTTGGAACAATGAAAAATTTAGTTTGTATCTACGTTCTTTGAGTGGGTTGTTTTCCGTATACAGTTCGCATAATGTTAATAAATCCTAGATAGTCCTCTCTAATAAGCGATTCCAGATCACAGTCCTTTTTAACCAATTTAAGGTATCCATGATATCAGGGGATAAAATGATTGTTAGCAGACAGTTAGTGAAACTATTCAGAACTTTCGCAGTGTGCAGCTATCAATAAAAAAATCTGGATTCATAAACTCTAAAGTATGACAAACAGGGGTCCTTTACTGTTTACGGTCAAAATATGTATTTATAAACTTTTCACAGCCCCTAAATACCTTAAGTCGTTTTTGAAAATTTTAGCAGCCTACCCTTCGATGGACGTGAAATACTGTTTCTCCTATAGCATGTATTCTTTCGTCTGGTTGTTGCGTTATTTTGACTGATAAACACCAACCAATAAAAGGTTCGTGTTGTTCTATGTCTGATCGAGATCAGTACCACATGTTCTGTAACTTCTAACTTTCTGTGTAATTTTTTGTTTTATCAGGTAAATTTCCCCTTTGAAGTTTGGATGTTGTGATACTTGTTTCCAACATATGACCACAAAAATTGCAACAGTAGCCAACTTGGCTTTTCATGCATTTCAACAACACTCAATACGTGCTGCATTGGGCCCAGCATCAGCTAATATTAACAATGGGATGGGGGATTCTCATCCTTGTACAAATGGCAATTCTCCAACACATTCTGACAAGCCCGTTTCCCCAACTCTTCCGGTAAAACATAAACATTTATCGGAATCTTTATGTCGTTTGCTAGCATGTGTTCGCTCTCTTACTCCAAAAGATGTTGGGTTTGATGTTCGATGGATCTCTGATTCAAATATATCATCTGCTCCAGTCGCTTATGTGCATATTATGGAAAATGAAGTATTTTCCATGGGTATTTTTATTTTGAAACCTGGCTCTCGTATACCCTTACATGATCATCCGGGAATGTATGGAATTTTAAAAGTTTTAACCGGTTCTGTACGATGTCGTAGTTTCACACGATTGAAAAATGTCAAATCAACAACAGATTTAGGAAATTATAAACCATCGTTATCGGTTTTTGATGATTCAAAATGGCAGTTGACCGACTTAATCATTGCTCGACCACATCAAGATACAGTCCTATCTCCGGACCATCAACCTTGTTTGCTTTTTCCAATTGAAGGTAATTTACATGAAATTACTCCAGTTGATGGCCCGGCAGTTTTTCTCGATATACTAGCTCCTCCGTATGATCATGATTTAGGAACCAGAGAATGTCGATTTTATAAAGAAGTCATCATACCACAAATGAACTCTAATTCACTATTATCACAGAACAACTTGCATAATAACAATAATAATGAAGAACTCTCATCTTCAGCTGATTCTTCAGATCCTGATCAATGCACAAATCAGTCAGAAAAAGATTCAGTTGTTTATTTAGTTGAAACAAACCAACCATCAGATTATTGGTGTGAATCTGCGGAATATAATGGACCTAGTGTAGTTTAGTATTACTGAAGAGTGTTTTTTGTTAGAAAGAAAATATTGAATTTTTTTCCCGTGGTTCTTTAATTCTACTACATCAGCTTATCACATTCACTATTTCTAAGAACTTACTAGCCTCATTATTATTATTTATGGTTAATGATTCATTCTCGCGGCATTTTTCACTGATCATCCAATTTTGAATATTTCAATCTCCCTGCTTCTGTTACTCTCTATTCCTTTTCTCTTTCTTTACTTATGTGATAATAAAATCATTTTATAATTTGATGTACAAATTCACTTCGCCTCGTTTTTATCATAATACTGGGCAGTCCAGTATTCTGCATTAATTTTCACACATCCGTATACCCATTCTCTTTTTTGCAATATCTTTTCGGTTAATACCGCCATGTTTAGTTTACTCTTGCTTTTGTTTACATTTTAATTATATAAAGAAATCTGTGTCCTTGGTGTTATTATTATTATTATTGTGGTTTTTCATGGCGAAAACAAAACACAGCAAAAATCATTGTACATGCACCCTTTTTATTCATGCTGTCATAGCATCATTCTGCTGAAGTTATTTCCTTGATTGATGATTATACTAGTGTTGTTAGTAGTGGCAATCTATTCATCAGAGTATTGGTTCATGCGTACAATCTAATGTTTTGCTGTCTTTGTTTTTCTCTATGTACCCCCTAATGTTTTATTTCCTGTATGTGATTTTTGTGGTCAGATCCAGTCATAATACTTTTCTTTGTAGTGATAGTAGTAGTGGTAGCAGTATCGATAATAATAATCAACTTAAAAGTTATCCCTTCCATATTTATCTCATTTCGTTACTGAGTGCGAAAACACTATCTGTACTATACACCTATAAATATGCATAAATTTATGTAACAATTTAAAAACAATACATACTTCATACATTATCAAGGCTGAAATAAAAAAAAAGAGAATATTCTGTTGATTCATGTATATTTCAACGATTTTTGGGTACTACACTTGCTTGTATCTATATTATTTACTGTAATGAAGATATATGCATACATAAATGTTCTTTTACGTGTTAGTGTATAAATTTCTGCACTTATAGTAGTCTCTTGTTTACTTTATAGCTGAAAACTTAAAGTACTGAAGTATTAAGATGTTTCTAGTTGATATTGACAGTAAGCTAAGTTTTACTGTTTATAATACTGTTAAGATTTTCATCAGGGACAACTATAGCGTACAGAGGCAATCCCGCTATTGTAAGTCTACTGTTCAGTAAACCTAAAATATTCAACCTGAACCAATCAGGATATATATATGGAATTTTCTAAAGTATTAATTCCGTGAGGACATGAATAATGAATAAAAATGATACTGTAATCGAAAGATCACAATGCTAGGGTTATGTAGTGTAAATAATAAATGGATTTGTGACGTATACAGGGTCTGTGCAAATAAAAATAAAAAGCCAACAGTTGATTCTAGTATGAATGGATTAAGATAATTAAAACTTTTTTGTTACAATAATTAAAGGTATTGGAGAAATTCAATGAAGTGAGGTGGTTTCAGGAACGATTAAGAGTAAGATCGATGGGATATAAGAGATAATTAGAGGGACATTTCCAAAAAAAGAAATCAAACTAAAATGGTAGTATTAAAATGATACTTTGAGGATAAACTACGTCATCTGTTCTCCTCTATGTATTTGCTAGTTTATCTGCTCTTGTAGAACATAGTATACAGGCATTAGTCAGGTGGTTGTTTCCAGCATGGATGCGAGAACATTATGCAGTTTGGTTCCACAAAGGTGAATGGAAAACGATGAATTTTACCCTTGAATATTTAGTCGAATGTAATCACTCTACTGATGTTGATTTTAAGATTGTTTTCAGAATTAGTCCAAATCTACCAGGATTTCTTCGTATTTAACTCCTTGAAACACCAAAAGCTCTTATTCATGAAATAATGCATAAAATATCTATTACAAATGAAGTATTTTATACTTATTTCTACAATGGCCTTAAACTATTATTGCCATTATTATTATTATTATATGACTGTATCATTTGACAAGTACGTCTTACTTACGTGTTCGTGTTCTAAAAAATGCATCAATCCGGAATCCGCATGAATTTTTCACTCATTTACGTTATATTTCTCGTTAAACTATGAAATTGGGTTTCCTCATCATTGGAAGCTGACTCAGTGGTCTCGAGATTAGGCATTTGGGCGTGACATCGATAGTGCTAGGTTCTATCCCAGATGGAATTGTGGGTGCGCACTGCCGAGAATTCCCATCCTAAGAAGAAACAGGGCTTCAGCGCTACCTAGTTTTCAGTAGTGGTCTAACTATAATCACGTCTGTGATTTAATCTATGGAAATCTCACAACCTCTTCAAATCCGTTTAGTACTGAAATATGAAATTTAGATTTAATAAGGATTTAAGATTATGTCTTGTGAGTTAAATTTAATTATGACAGTAATAACTCATAACTTGTGTCAGTATACTAGAAGTTTCAATCATCTAAACTCCGTTATATCGATAGTTTTTGAGTTTAATTTTTAATCTTGCACAGTATAACCACATTGTTGGATATCATCCAAAATCTCTTTCAGTTATCAGTAAATGACATGAATAACAGTGTTGAGATGGTAGATGACCGGCGGAATGTGTCCAATACCATTTAGAAATTAGATAATAATATTCACATCAATACTTTTAAACATTGAATAGACTATTGCTTAATTACTCAACTCTGTTTTATTAGTATGCACACGTTTTACGGATTTCATAATAACCATGAAACAGACGACTATTATAAACAAAGTGAACCATTCAACAGTAAGACATCGTTTAATAAGTAGTATCAAACAGTTCATTATCCTTAAGAATTAAATTAGAATAAGAATAACTATTGAAGTAGAATGCTATGATAGTACTACTATGATGAATTCTTACCAAATGTCTACAAATCTAATTAAATTTAAAAAAATATATTAGTCGGTTTGATATTATGGTAATCAACCGTGACCATTTGCTATGATCAAGAGTACTAGTGAGTTTACATGTAAGAACATTCGTAGAGTGCTTTGAATAATAACAGTTCTTTCTAGTTATAGCCGTCACAGTTGTTTTAATTAATATTAAACGTAGGGTGGCAAAGTTAAGAAATCAGTTGCAATAACAACGTTCCAATTATTATCTATATTATTTTATTTCTTGAGCAAGGTACCCTTATTAATTTCCATCCTTTAATGACTAACTGCTCCAAAATATTTAAATTATTTGGAATCGAAAAGTTTACAAGGTAAGTTACGCAATTATCGTAAAACAACATTCCACAGAATCTACACAAGCTTAAGGGAATAGATGACTGAAAATGACACAATGAATATATGGACAATTTTTAAAGTGAAGATAGAAATAATAAAATAAATGGTTAGAGATTTGCTTTGATATAACAGTGATAGATTGACAATTGATTCCATAATGAGATGGCTATCAATTGAATGTCGTGTGATTGAGTTAATAAATCATTTGAAATCCTTAAGTATCATTTCGTTTTTGAACTATTCTCTGATGTAAATAAGTATCACAATTGCCTAGATAAGGTCCTTGAACTTAGGTGACTCAACCGAAAGAGAAATTAGTACAAACGATATTCCAAGAAAATAACAAACTGTAATTGTGTATGAGTTTCTATTAGATAAAACAACCTCGAAATCTAGATCAAGCTTAACTTCCCATTAGTTCACTTTAATCATTTGAACCAAACAAACATACTCATTATTAATAAAACACTAATGAGTGAGCTAATAAAATTAGTTACATGAAATGTTACGTGCAATTGGTTTTAGTAAATTTAAAAAGTGCAACATCTACTTCGTTTTAAACGAAATCAACGAACTTGTATTATTTTATAATGAACATTGTAATTCGTATGCTTTAAGTCATTCACATACGAACTGATTTGTATGAATAAATAACAGGTTTTACAGTTATAATTTTATGTAAAACGTTTGCTAGTCAAAAAAAGTAATTATGAACAATTTCTATATTCGTACCAATCCAATCACTCTTGATGGCGAAACTCTGGAAGATGTAGAATCCTTCACACACCTGGGAAGCATCATCGATGAACAAGGAGGTTCAGATGCAGACGTAAAGGTGAGGATTGGCAAAGCAAGGACAGCATTCCTACAGTTGATGAACATATAGAACTCAAAACAACTTTCAACCAATATCAAAGACAGAATCTTCAATACGGACGTCAAGGTAGTCAGTTCCACTGTATGGAGCTGAAACTTGGAGAACTACAACAACCACAATCAAGAAGGTACAAGTATTTATAAATAACTGTCTAAGCAAGATACTCAACATCCATTGGCCGGATACCATCAGCAACAGCCTTTTGTGAGAGAGAACAAATCAGCTTCCAGATGAAGAGGAAATTAGGAAAAGACGATGGAAATGGATAGGACATACACTACGCAAATCGTCAAACTGCATCACGAGACAAGCCCTAACTTGGAATCCTGAAGGGAAGTGGAAAAGAGGAATGCCAAAGAACACGTTACGTCGGGAAATAAAAGCAGATTTGGAAAGGATGAATAAGAACTGAAAGGAGCTGTAAAGAATTTCCCAGGACAGGGTTGGATGGCGAATGCTGGTGAGCGGTCGATGTTCCTTCACGAGGAGTAACAGGCGTAAGTAAGTAAGTCTATATTCGTACAAGTTTACGCTCCATCACCTTCGTCATTTTTCCTACCGTAATCATAAAAATCCGATATACGATAACGTCATGGTCTGTCGTTTAATTCCTTCATCCAAATATCGAACTTGTATGAATACAGGGAGTGTTCTTACTTATTTATTTTACTTGGTGAACTAAATGAATTTTTTACATACTATACATGAAGTTATAATTGTAAAATATTTTACTTATCCATAATAATCAGTGCAAATGTGAATGAGTTACAGAACATGAAATACAATGAATTCACTTCCACAATGTCCGTTATTCTTGCTTTGTAAGTTTGTCGAGAAAGCCAGTCGCTTAAAATAACATATATCACTTGCTCGATAAACTTTGATGCTCAGTACATGACTGAGATCATTTCATCGTCATTGTACATTAAA